TTATAATAAAAAATGTGATATTAACCATTTAACTGTGTAGGAATAACTCCACCCCTAAAAATGCTTTGTGTGTCGACACTACAACGTGGATATCGGTACTCTTTTTTATTTATTTTTTTTTTATGCACCGTTTTTATTTCATCCTAGACGTGTATTTTCCAAAAGGCTTCAGGCATGGTGTCCACACGTAGCAGATAGCGCCGACACCAAACCCGTGTCAGGTTTTTGGATCTCCTTGTAATGTTTTAATGATAAAATCTCAACTTGGTTATTCTATTTCTATATAATGAACAATTTAGTCCTATAACTTCATGTTCATTCACTTAGATCCCTGAAAGCTACTTTTCTTCTCCCAATACAGTCCCTCAAGTTTTAAAGAATATTCAATCAAGTCCAAAAGCTTCATTTATTATGCATTCAAATCCTTCTTTTTTTTAAAAAAATAAAAATAAAAATTATATAAATTCTATTAAAAACCACATCCTATCCATTTACCAAAAATATATCAGAACTAAAATAAGAAATCAAAACGTTTTATAACCTTAAATCCAACAAAAAGAAAAAAAGCTTGGTGCTGGGCCAACTTACTCAAGCCCACATTACAAATGGTAGCAGGCAATGCCCAAGAGCGAGGGTACAATAATACAAAAATGGAAAAAAATCCAGTTAAATTTAAAGTTTTCTGAAACCAAACCGATAATGGGGAATCGAGATAGAAAAAGGGGTACCAAACTCCATTGGTTTTTGATGTTGAGGAGTTGAAAATTAAATTATCAAATATGTTAGTAGAGACAACTTGAGATCTCAAATTAAACATCTACTCTAAAATTATGATACAGCAAATTTCACTCTAATTTTACTAATTTTAAGGAATGGTAGGCTTCCGCTAAGTCCTAGTTGCCACTGTTATCAATAGTCATCATTACTTGACAATTTGTTATAGTGAAAGTGTCCCAAAAGGAATTCCAAGGGAAGGAATCAATGATACTTAGGTAAGACAATTAAAGAATCATGAATCAGATGATAGAAGGTTATGAATTTATGTTTAGAAAATTTAACTCAAGTTTAGTTTGATTTTGATTAATTAGTTTACAAACTCTCATAATTAATGTTAAAAAATTAATATTTTTTTAAAGTTAAAATTGATATATATTATTTTTAAAATTTATTTATTTTAAAAAATAAAAATTAAGACATTAAAAAATATAAATAAAATTATTTAAATATCTTTCATAAATTTTT